GAGAGAGAGAGAGAGAGAGAGAGAGAGAGAGAGAGAGAGAGAGAGAGAGATATTACAGATTAAAGTTATACTGCATTCTAAACCCAAACCTGACAAATTTCAACACACTAATCAAATTATCATGTTTCTAATTACAGGCTTATCCTATGTTCAGCTGCTTTGATATTTGGTGGTTTTTTGTAAATCAGAAAGTTCTCGGAACCTACAGTCACCTATGAAGGCTCTACTAGGCTGTTGTGTGTGTGTGCATTCATCTCAGTTCTCCCAGCCATTCTGTACCCCATCTTCCTGTCATTCCTGTAATGTCCCTTACATTCAGCAACTGCATTTCACTAATCATGTAGCAAACTGCAAATGGACGCATTCTCTGGGCCATGTGTTGTAGAAGTAGTGTAACGTCATTTACAAAGTTCTAACGTAAACTACAGGGTGCAGTCGTTTTGCAGTGGGAAGAGTTGCAGATTCAAAAGACCTTCAGATGCCCTTTGGTCCATTTAATTTGTAATACTATTTTACAGTTTCAGTTGTGTTATCAATTTATTACCTGGATGGCTGCTTTTGGTGCAAAAAGAATGCAAAAGTCATCATTTTCAGTGGGTGCTCCTGTCCCTGTGTCACTAATCAAGTGGTGAGGGAGGGAGGCATGAGCAGGGCTAGGCTCCTGGGACACATTCCCACTCTCGTCTGGGAACAAGAAGAGGTCTGAACAGCATGGCTCCTGAGTGTGCGACTTTTCATCCAGGACACCTAGACGCAAAGACAGAGACATCTGGCAACAGCCTCTTGACTGCAGGTCAGACACAGTGTGCTCAGCCTTCCACCCACACACCTTCCCCACTTCTCATCTCAACTCTGAGTCTGCAGCTTAGGGAGGGCTAAAGTAACACAGACGCCTCAGTAAGAGGCAGAAAGACCTCGAAAGCACAAACAAGTGCCTCAGTCAACCTGAAGTCAGTTCTCTAGGAAAGTAAGGACAGCTCCTTCCCAGTTACTTGGTGTAGGAGAAGCTCAAGAACTCAACAAGATCTGTTCCCATTAACTGGGGTTTGTTTTGGTCAAGATTCCGTTCTGCAGGTGGAAGAAACTGACAAATGTCCATAGGGTTCAATCTTGGAAACTTCTTGAGCAACATTGCAAAGGGAAGGAAAAAAGGCTCATCTAGTAGACCCTCACTCAAACCCACAGGGGTCTCTGCTTAGGGAAGGGGTGGGGAGAGTGGCTGAGCTAATTCCTGGGCTCCAGAAACCTATGCTGGACACTTGCTCTCATGTAGCTCTCTCAAAATGAAATTCACAGACGATGCCATGTGTACCAAAAATCTGCACATGAGCATTTTATACTGTGTAGTAGAGTTATCCACTCTTTCTCCATTCATTCCAACCAAACACTGATGATATGGGGCGAAGAACACAGAATGTCTAAGAGTCTCCCAGACAGGCACTGAAACCCTGTCAACAGCACTGCAGGCCCCGCTCCCATCAGTGTCGAGTGCTCACTGAAGATGTGTGTATCATAAGCAATCAGGGTCCCTTCCCACTCAGGCCAGCTGCTGCTGTTTAGTGCACAGGAAGCTGGAAGCTTAGTTCATATCCTTAGATAAAATTTATCCTCACTTCCAATGAATGAAACATTTCACACTAAATGTTTCATAATACCATGGATTTTCTCAGGATGCCCATAGCCCAGGCTGGCCCTATACTATGTATGGCTCAAGCTGTTCTTAAATTCCTAACACTACCTCTAATTGCCATGTATTGGGATCTTAGGCAGGCACCACCTTTCCCAGCTCCATCAATTATTATTTTTAAATTAAGGTTTATGGAATTTAGAAATAACTATGTTCTCCACTAAAGGCGTTGTGGCACATGCCTTAAATCCCAGCATGTGGGAGTGGAAGAAGGAATAACTATGTTTATCCAATCTGAAAAACTGTTTTGAAACGAATGCTTCAAGATATTGAGATGCTTCCATTTGGCTTTCAAGACTCTTCGCTCATCTGGTCCCTTTCTGCTTTTCCAACTTTACTGTTTAATTCTTTTCAATCTAATGGAACTTCCGTTCTAGTGACAGCTGGATAGGTATCTACAGATCATGCATGCCTTCCTCTGTACTGTAATACCGAACAAATTTATGACCTTGTCAACATGACCTTCCTTCTCGTGCACCCTCCACATACAGCCAACTAGTCCTGTTTTCATGAGACTCGTGAACTTCCAATCTACATTCCAGGCTATTTTGTGTCACTTTTCAATCATTCCAAGCACTAGCACCATCTCCTGTCAGTCTGTTCTCCCAACAGACAGCAGACACAAGCTAACTGACTAGTACATATCTACAGATCCAGATGAGTCCTTAGTAAGTTTCTTACTGAAAATGTCATAAGAACACAAATAATGTGACACATGCTACCCTCAGAGCTGCCAGGAAAAGCCCTCTCACCATTAGTCTGTGGTCCGACAGGGGCAGAGGTCTGCTGCATGTCAATCTCCTCCATGGCGTCACTCATCAGGTCCCGTAAAATCTGCTGGTCAGCTTCAGGAAGCACCGGACCACGCGAAGATGATCGACCACTGGAATCTACCTACAACCAAAAGGCCAAAGTAAAAACAGCTAAAGCTTGTTGGGCAGTGGTGGCTCATACCTTTAATACCAGCACTTGGGAGGCAGAGGCAGGCAGATCTCTGTGAGTTCAAGGCCAGTCTGGTCTACAGAGCGAATTCCAAGGCAGGCTCCAAAGCTAAACAGAGATACTCTATCTCAAAAAACAAACAAAAAAACAACAACAACAAAAAAAAAAACAAAAAACAAAAAAAACAGCTAAAGCTTGGTGCAATGCAGTGCGCCGCACTCCCAGCTACTCAAGAGGGGAAGCAAAGGGACCACTGGGCTCCAAGTACATAAGGCCAGCCTGGGAAACAAAGTAAGACATTTCTCAAAGCAAAACCCATCTGAAAATACTCTTTTTTCAGAGAAGAAAGTCAGGACACTGAGTACACTACACTGCAAGGGAGCAGAGAGCAGAGCCCCTGAGAACTGCCTGCTGAGAACACCCTGGGACACACTCCACCTCAGGAACAACAGGTCCATGCTCACTGTCTACACCTGCCTGCAGTCCTGGTGCAATCATTATCACCTCAACAGCTACCAACAAGTACAAATAAACAGGAACTTAGCTCAGGTGCAGACAGAACCTGGACCCAGCCAAGGTGATGGGAGGGGCTGAAAATCCTGCTGTGCAGCCAGGGGTTACTGAGAAAGCCTGAGCTGCTCAGGCCATACTGCTGCTCCTGTAGGTCTGGACCTCCTCTCTTAGACTCCGGAGGGCAGCAGGGATATAAACAGGGGAGAAAACCTGCATGGTAGTTCATTCACAGGGCTCAACTCCAGTACCACCACTTTACCATTTTGGTTAGTAAACTGCAGATCCATTAAACCTAAGTTGCACTCCCCAAAATGTGAGCACTGCTCTGAAATGGAAAGACACAAGTTGAAAGCATCTCTGATAAACTGGACAGTGTCTTTCAGAGTAAATAGAATAGAGAGTAAACAGTGGAGGGAGTGTCTTTGGTCATCTCAGTACCAGTGGAGCATGAGAGGGACAGAGAGGAAGAGCAGGATGACCTAAGAGGGCACGTGATGCCAGCCAGATCCTTGTTAATAGAACTGACCTCTTTGAGTAAGTTCTGAGGTGCCCTACCCTAAGGAGACTAAGGACGCTGCTCACAAAAAAGGCTGTCAAGAACAGCACTGCAAAATAAAACACCCAAACAAACGGAACAAGTTCAAACTTGACACATGACATCAGAAAGGGACACCTGCGGCATAGGAGAGCAGCGACCTTGAAACCGAGATGGGGACACTTGTTGTGCTCCTCTTGCTGACTAGGGAAGTCACCAAGCAATCTAGCACAAACGACAACCTTCAGCCTCCCCTCCCTGGGCTGTGAGGGAGAGAGAGGAAGCTCCGTGGAGGTTGACCAAGTAGTAGAGAGAATGGGTAGAAGCACTAGTGTACAAGCAGGTCTGTAGGTGACAGTAGCATTTACCACTAGCTGCTTACAGCATTTGACACGACTTGTTTTCTTCCCTAAGAAGAGGTGCAAAGAAAAGAAATCTTAAAGAATTATGTCGGCTGAGATTAGTGTTCTGAAACAAAGAGCAAACAGTAGACTGGCTTTTCACAGAGGCCCCGGAATCACCGCTCCAGACCTGTTACTCTAGGAAGTGACATCAGCGGGATGGGGAATCGATCACCTGGCCTGTACCTTTGGCTTTCTCTGTGGGACTCCGGGCTTCACTTCTGCTTTGTTAGGTGCATGTAAGTCCCCGTAACTTGCGACATACTGAATGAGATTCATCAGTGCGGCGCATGAGTCTGAGCATGTTCTGATGTGGACGACATCACTGGAACAGTGCAACTCAAAGCGGGGCTCAGTCTGCAGGGCACAGGGGAATGACAACACTCTTTTTTAGACAAGCATCACCAACTCCTCTACAGTCACAGGAACAAAAACAGACACTAATGGGCTGGAAAGATGGGTCCGTGGTTATGAGTACTTATTGTTCCTGCAGAGGACTAGGTTTTAATTCCCAGCACCCACAGTGGTTCACAACTGTCTCTAACACCAGTCCCAGGGGTCTGATACCCTCTTCTGACATTTGCAGGTACCAGGCATGCATGTGATGCACATACATACATGCAGGCAAAACATGCATACACCTAAAATAAATCTAAAATAAAATATATACTTCTTTGTTTTGTCACATGAAAAGTATTTAAATCAATTCTAGTTTTGAAATATTTGGGCCAAAATTGGATCAAAAGAATAACATGTTCCAATACATTCTATTTTTTATCTCTTAAGGACAGGATTTAAGTAAAAATTTCCACTTATTGTAACTGACCTGTTCTCCATCAGAATCTGACTTCACTGCAGTTATGGTCAGCTCTAAAAGTCCCATGTCCATCACACGAACATAATCTAGAATTTAATACAATACTTACTGTAGGTTTTCACAACTGCGTATCCCACCAAGCGCTAACAAAGCTCCCTGCGGATGTCACTAGGGTCTGCAGTGTGAGGACACTGACAGGTCATCCTACAATCTCACTGTGACTTCATCTGACACCTCACTTAATTTTAGCTACAACGAATGACTAAATATTAAATAGATATTTAGAATATACAAAAAATATAGCTAACACCATAATAACATTTCACCCTCAAACTGAAAAGCCAGTATCCACTAAACTCTGAAGGTATATGAAGCATTACTCTAATTATTGTTTATCAATAAAAATTCAGGAGTCAGATATTGAGGTAAGAGCCTGAAAGATCAGAAAAGCAGAGAAGCCACAGTCCTCCCTACCTGCTCCATTCCTCCCTCTAAACAAGAGAGCCAGATCCCTCTCCGTCCCACCTTACCACTTCCTGTCCTATCTGTCCTCAGTCTTCCCAAACCTCTGTGGTTAATTTTGGTTGGCTAAGGGCTAACTCCACCCTCCGACTCCAAGCAAGCTATATTTGTCAGAACACGATCAAAATATCACACAACAGATGTAGCATACAATTATTACACATTTGAATATCCGTTAAAAGTTCCCTAGCAAGAACCCAGCTTTCCAACACTGTTCCCCACTTAAAACTGCTATTACACAGACACACACACACACACACACACACACACACACACACACACACACACACACACACACACTGCAGTAATCAAGCCGGAGTGTGTTTTGAACTCACCTCTATTCAGGTTTATAGTGACAGTGTTACACTTGTCAGACAGGTGTAAAGCAGCCTCATCCATGATGATTCTGAAGAAAGGAAACAGCATCTGAAAAGCCAAGCTCTGAGCCTGTGAACAGCACCATCGGCACACCTTCCCACCACGTGGGTGTACCTAACCCACAATCATGAGTGGAATCAAAACACAGGAAGGTGCCAACACATCGATCTCTAGGCTGTGGGGGCAGTTTGTGTTCCAACAGATGCTCAAATCTAAATAAAAGGTTTCCATTTCAAAGATAACACATATCTGGGACTGAGAAACTGACCACAGGTCCTAACAAGCCAAGGGAGACGCTCAGGGATGAATTCCTTCCAAAACGGAAACACAACAATGAGAGGAGCGGCGGGCATGGCCCTTGAGGAAGGAACACTGACGGCCCAGCCGCTGCGGATTTAACAAGTAGCAGCGGTTTGGTAAGGAAGCACCCATTACTACAGCGGCCAGCACAGGATGAGTTCACAGGTACCTGAGAGTGGAGGAAGATTTATCCAAGGCAACACTGCTAGAAATGCTGAACGTCTCAACAGTAAGAAGGGATCGGATTGGCAGGTGAAGGGGCCTGGCAGCAAACAGAAGCGAAAGATTAGCAGCCTAATACAACAGGACTCTTCAAAACACACCTCCAACCTCAACTACTCAATTGTGGGACTTTTGGAGGGCTTTGTTTTGTTTTGTTGGGTTTTTTGATCACAGTATCTCACTGTGTAACTCAGCCTGGTTTCAAATTGGCAGGCTTCTTCCCTAAGCCTGGTGAGTGTTGGAACTGTAGGTGTGCAACACCACAGTGGGCAGAATTACGTACTTTTCAACTGATTTATATATTGTGTGTGTTTGTACAGTGCCTGTGTGGAAGCCAGAGGACAACTGAGGAGAAGTGGTTCTTCTCTTCCAGGATATGGGTCCCAGGGAATGCACTCAGGTTACCAAGCTGGTGGCTCTAAAGTCAGTGTGTTTCAATAAAACTCCACTTTGTTCCATTCACGGACTCACCTGTAATCAAGTGCACAGCTCCAAAGATGAACATGAAAAGTTGTAAATGAAGTTGGAGGGTTATATCCCAAAACAGGTTCATCAGCAATATTCAAGAAGTTTAAAATCTGTAATCACGAAACATAAATACTTTAGAAGAAACGACATCTTGCTATAATACATTTAACAAGCATATAACAAAGCGACTTAGGCTGTTACAAGAAAATATAGCTGTTCTGAAGGGATTCATTTCAAAAGTGTGTGCACTCACATCAGTGAGGCCATGGAAGGGGAGAGATGCACTGAGCTGTCTATAGCAATCATCTCACTGTGTGTGTTGACCATAACCTATTGCTGTGTCCCTTAAAGAACACAATTAAAATGCTAAAGTACTTGCTAAACTGGAACTTGAAATGAAGAGTCACATCCATTAACTGAATACCACAGACACCTTAGAAAACCCTGTCTCACATTTATGGTCATACCACCCTAACACACCCAGTCTCCTCTGATCTTGGAAGGTAAGCAGGGTTGGACTGCTAAGGGCTTAGTACCTGGATGGGAGGAAGTCCTATCTTATGAAATTCATTTTTTAAAAAGTATATATAATACAATTAACACATTGCTCAGAACAATTATTGAAAAAAACTAATTTTGTTAAAGACAACTTTGCAAAAATCTGGTTTCCATGAGATATGCTAGGCATGCCTGTAATCCTAGCTACCTGGGAGGTTGAGGCAAAAGGATCAAAAGTCCTAAGTTAGCCAAGGACTACTTACTTAGCAAGACCCTTCTCAAAATACAAAAAGGAAGTGGGGAGGAGGAAGAGGAGAAGAAGAAGAAAGGAGAAGACAGAAAAGGGAAAGAAAAGGGAGAAAGGCAGGAGGAAAGCAGTGGTCATGTGCTCAGGGGCGGAGTCTTGCTTAGCATGCTGAGGCTCTCAGCTGGAGAGGCATCTCTGGTTTCCTAAGTCACCCACCGTGGGAAGGTAGAGGAATCTAGCTGTTTTTATAGAACTCAATAAGTTCTTTTTCTTTAATTTATATGTTGCTTAGTCTGAAAGCTAGGTCATCTGCCCCACACACATGCTTTCATACTCCCAAGCAAATGAAGAGGATATGCTAAATCACTCCCTAAACAGACACACACACACACACACACACACACCTGTGTTTGCCTAACAGGCAGACACTCAGGTAGTCATGTTTTCTAAATATTTTCATGGGAAGAGTATTTTTAAAACACTCAATAGAGAAAAAGACAAGAAGCACAAGATCCAGTATTCAAAATAACTGTGAGCCTCTTGCTCAAAGTCAGTTTCTTATTTACAATTCTTACTCACAGGAAAATAACCAACTTGATTCAACCACAGAATCTTGTTAAAACCCAAGCCATGGCCAACAAGACAGCTTGGTGGGTAAAAGTCAAGCCTGATGAAGCTGAGTTAGATCCCCAAGAGAAGAGAATCAACTCCTGAACACTGTCCTCTGACTCCCACAAAAATACTGTGGTATGTACACACAAGGGCACCACCCACCCCACCCATAGACGTTTAGTAGCAATCAAATACAAATTTAGAAAGACTTTTCAATGAGCAGCAGAGCACACAGCATGTGTGAAGCCCTGGGTCTGGTCCCATGCAGGAAAAAAAAAATGTAAGTAGGTATGTGGGTGGGTGGGTGGATGGATGGATGGATGGATGGATGGATGGATGGATGGATGGACGGACGGACGGACAGAAAGACGGAAGGACAGACAAAAAACAAGAAAATAGGGAGGATTCAACGGGACATTAACGGCTGAAATTCTGATCAAATGGCCTGAGGCAAAGCCACACCAATAACGGTCTGGGGACGTGGTGGCCCTTCAAAAGTGGGTGGTTTTCAGCACTCAGTACACCTCTGGCTGCTCCTCCTGGCTGGGCATTCCTTTTCTTGAAGGACACAAACAGCAGCACTCAGTGAGAAGTTATAGGAACTGCCTTCTGGGTGGAGTCTATGTCCTAAGGAAGGCCCAGCTACACACAGTGCGTGCACATCAGTTCACCAAGGTGAACATTCATTCACAACTGTGAACGCTGTTAGAAGGACACAACAGAAGCAAGAGCTCTTACCTGCTCGTGCCAGCTGAGTCCGGTGGGCAGCATCCTGTGCTGCAGAGTGGCTCCTTTCAGCCCCACAGCCACAAGGAACTCCTGCACCACAGGACACACGAAGAGCCACATTAATCCACAGAATCCCCACTGGGGTGTTGCCACTTCTAACAGTCATCTTAGCTAGCAATCAATCAACAGGAGTATTGAACAGTTGAAGGCACACACCTTTGTATTGGACTCTGATTTATCAGACAGTATCTTCACAGCCACCGAGAGCATATTCAAATTGTCTCCCCCAACACCGTCAGAGGCGGCTCGGCTGAGGCCGTCTTCTTCAGAGGAATAAATTGTAGGTTCCAACCAATGTGGGCGCGTTGAACTGGGCAAGCGTGTCTCTGTAGGGAGAATGGCTCCATCTACTATGCCTAGACACACATTGAGACAAAACACCAACAAAATGATCCCTTGAAAATATTCAGTACCTGTTCTGACTTTCACAACTCAAAACAACTCTCTGTACAGGTTGAGCACGGCTTTATCCAAAATGTTCAGCATCAGAGTATTCGGGATTTTAATGTTCACATCTAGTAAACATGCCCCATCTCAAGAGGTCAGGTCCACTACCACCATCGAGATGTCTCAGATATAGAGCATTTCTAAACGGATTTCTAGGACACAGCCTATACTCCTTTGAGCCTTGCTGGTAGCACAGAGGTCCTTGAGCTCACAGAAAAGCACTAGGGAATCCAGGACAGGGTTATCTCCTCAAAGGGACAGATGCATACTTGTTTTCTGCCCAGAAGCCTAGAAATAAATGTTGTTAACCGTCTGGTGACCCCTGTGCTAACTGTATGACCAGAGACAACCAGATCCTTCCCAGGCCTTCATGACAACACATGTTGTTTATCTATAGACCCCATCTTCATAGAAGAGGTGACATGTAACTTGATAATTTTTGGTAAATTATTCCTTAATATTCATTGTGCACATGGGATTGTGTTACACCAGTTACTTTTCCCCAAACTGTGCTATGCTTAAGTATGTTTAGAATAAGCTGCTGGTGTCAGACTCTAGAAGCTTGAACCAATACCTGCTGCTGAGCCATGTTGAGCCAGATTTCCTTCTGAGCTCTCACAGATGTTCCTCTGCTGGCCATGGTGTCTGCAGAAACCCCCACAGAGCCAGCAGGGCACAATGGCCAAGAGGCCGCATGGTAGCAGCCTATTTCTCTTTGTCAATGTAGGTATAACTGAGAGCAAAAACTCACAAGAAAGTCAAAAACTAAAACTAAGATTCTAAAACACGAGGAACATCTTTGTGCCTACTCACAGGGTAATTCAGGCAGCTACTGAGAATGTGGTAAATTTAGTCAGGTGTGGTGGTACACACCTACAGTCCTAGACTTGAAAGGCTGAGTTGAATCTCAAGGTCAGGACCAGTATTGGCTACATAGTGAGAAGACCTTGTCTCTAAACAAACAAAGTTTTAGTCTGTATGATTTTGGCAACAGAACCAGAACTCCCAACAGAAAACAATTTCTCACATCAAAGCGGTACTCTCAACAGGCTGTCTCCATCAAATAGGAAGTCAATGGGCAAACGGCAGAGAGGACAACGCACAGCTGTCCTACCTTTGTGGTACAGACTGAGGCTGCTGGAATGCAGGCAGATGTAGTGCTTGTCATCGAAACCTTCGTATTTTGTCACACAGAATAATGAGCCACTGTTGAATTCTAACCAGAATTCACCATGCTTATTTCCCATCGGCTCTCCATTCTCTTGCTAACAACAAGACCAGAAAAAAAAAAACACAAATTATCATTTTATTTCCTCCCCAAATTCCAGTACTGGAGATGGAACCTAAAACTCTGCACACAGTAGGTGGGCTCCTAGTCACTGAGCTGCAGGCCCCAGCCACCATTATTAAATGCAGAAAGGAAGAACATTTCTTGGCATGCTCATTCTGAATCTAACTTAGGAAAATCTCCTAAAGCATAACAAGCAGTCTAACTCCTGAACTATCAATACCATGGGCCTAAACACTGAATACTGTGTATAGTACGAAAGTCCTCTGTACAAGTGCCTATGCTTCACACTCTTTTAAAATAAGAAAGAAAAAGTTGGTTACCGCCCTCACGGAAGAATTAGCACATGCTTTCCAAAGGGAGGCCTGTACACAGCCTTAGATCAACAACTGAAGCTAGCTCCTAAAGTAGTGTGTTCTCTGGCATCTCAGAACCCTGCCACCCACCTCCCCCCGCCACTCCCCCTTCCCCCCTGCACTGACACCATCTCACCCCACTTCACTGCGACAGACTGTGTAATGGTGTAACTGTACCTTTACATCTGTGAACACTGCCATTAATCCATGATTGACATTCAGAAGGACTGATAGGAAACTCTGAGAGCTCTTGTTCTGAGAGTCCAACTTTTTTTTCCTACGGGAACGATAGTTGGGATCAACAGCAGAAAAATACTGCAAAGTCTCTTCTTCAGATCCACTGTCTTCATCTACGCAGGGAAAAGACCTACTATTACAGATTCTGACAGCTAAGCAGGACAGCAGCTTAAAAATGACCACAACAGTACTTTGACTTTTCCAGAGGACAGAACGACAGGGAGAGAGGCCTCTCAAGGGAACTCCAAACATGTGCACCATCATTCCGAAGATAACACATTCGAGCAGCAAAGCTCTTATCAGAACAGACACAGAACCGGGGAAATAATCATAGAAATTTCTAAAGAAATTACAGACCACAAACAGAACACAAAGTCTGAGGCACATTTTAGCTCTGCAATCGGAAGGACTACTACTCTGTTAACATATGAACGAGGCGCTTTCTTTATACTAGAACAACAGAAAGTACATTACCATAGTGAACTGCAGACTTAAAGGGGCTGAAGCTGTCTTTGCTGAAGGTGTTGATCAGCTGACTGGCTACCGAAAGCCCAACACCGTAGGAAATATTCTCAAGTGTCTCCACTGGGGAAGGAGCTGTTGGCTCCCAGAGAAGCAGGTCATTAAAGATCCTAGAAACACAAGTGCAAAGTAAACAGGAAAGAAACATCTAAGGTGAAGACAGACTCAGAACCTCCTTGACATGATCAGTTTTACCTACTGGTTTTAAATGGTGAACTGAAAAATGATCCTGTGAAGGAGTTTTTAAAACAGGAATTTTGTGCTTTCAATAGGAAAGCACCTGACATGGTTACAAAGAAGAACCAGATAAAGGAATGAAGATCAGACCCCTAACTAGACACTCATCTAATGTCTGTTACCCACGTTAATATACCCAAAGTCCTAATCACATCTCTAAGCCTACTTTAAAGGAGGAAGCTAATTAATGATAAAAACCCACAGCCAGGTGTAGTGAAGTATGCATTTAATCCAAAGGGGAAGAAGCAGTCTGTGGATAGTCAGAGCTGTATAATGAGACCCTGCCAAAAACCAAACCAAACCAAAACACCCACCTTCCAAATGGCAGGAAGACTGTTAAGGCGCCATAGAGACCCTCTCACTTTACCCATGAAGAAACCACCACATAAAAACATAAGTGATCTCTCCAAGGCCACACAGCCAAGCAGGAGAAAAGCTGGTATGACATTCAAGATAAGGCCCAGCTCTCAATTCAATCTTTTGTCTATACTAGTATCTGAGATAGCTTTTTCCCAACAGATAGCTTAGCTTCCCTGGTAAGAAATGGGATGAATACATGACCACAAAAAGTGAGAGAGAGATATGTATGTACCCCCTAAAGAACACACTAGAAGAGCCACAGCTAGGCCTGGGCTGTATGCTGCCTCTTCAGTAAATACTTGCTCCTACAAAGATGTGCTTCTGCCTAGCTTCAGGAAAACTGCAGTTTGACACAGCATTCTCTAGGTCTGAGCACCTCCTTCACGTCATCTGTTTCCATCACAGCACCTGTAATGCTTGACTCCTCTGTGCCACCTCCCTGAGAGGGACTTATGCCTAATTATCTCAGTCTGTGCACAGATGAGCAGCTGTCACAGAGCACAGGGCTGGAGAGGGAAGGATGAGATGATGACCCGTGGAAGGACTGCAAAGCCCAGTGTGAATACCAGTCGAGGTGCCAAGAGAAGAGGCAGTCCTCCCTCCCCTGGAGGAAGCCAGCGTGCAGCCAGCTGCAGAGCTCCAGGCTCTGGAGGAGGGAGGCAGAATGAGCATCTTGACTCACAGCGGGAAGTGCTGTTGTGAAAGACACCAGGGACACAGCACTGAGGGATGACGCCCCTTAAACACACTGACAGCTACATTCCCAACATTACGTTCTATTATAGGACAAAGAAGCCAAGGTCTATGAATCCAGACTCCGGCCTGAGCCAATCACTGTGAAGAGTGAAGGCAAAGGAAGCTTCTCCTTAGGAAGGGCTCTCTTTCGCCACACCTTCCTGCAGTATCTTAAACAAAACCAGAGCTTACGGCATAAGCTCTGTGAGTTTCTCATCCGTCATGTTCTATGCTTTCTTTGTTTATATTTAGGTCTACACAGTCTTTGGTTGGTTGTTTTTATTTTGAAACAGAATCTTATTAGGAAGCCCTGGCTTTGAAATCATGATCCTCCTGCCTTAGCCTTCCTAGAGCTGGGATTACCAGAGTATGCCACCATACTCAGTTTAAAAAAAGTTTGCTACTCACTAAAAAAATAAACAGGGCTGGTGAGATGGCTCAGCAGGTAAACACACTTGCCACCAAGCCTAACCTGAGTTCAATCCCTGGGATCCATGTGGTAGAAGGAGAGCCAACCCCCAGAGTTGTCTTCCTGCCTCACCAGCTGTATACACAGAGACACACGCAGACGCACGCACGCACGCACGCACGCACGCACAACACACTCAAGAGCACATGCACTTGAATAATAAATGTTTAAAAAAGAAACAAAACAAAAACAAAAACCTTACTTAAAGTGCTAACGTTCTCTTCCTATGTCCAATGACCTGGTGTGCTTGTCCTGTCCATTGAACTAATATGTACCTCAGCACCCTAAGACTTACAACCAGTCAATGGGGAGACCCAGAAACCCTAAGCCTTAGCACCAAGAGCTACCGACAGCAAGCAAACCCACTGCAGAAGCAACAGTGGATAGTCTCTGACGACAAGGGGAATGAAAACTTGTTTGCAGTGAGCGCTAGAGATGGTGAGACTACGCACTTCCTTTTTGCTCTGAGTCCCTCAAGGGCAGGAACTGTAACAACAGCAGAACACGGCTGAGAGCTCACCATAGGCCAGCACTGTTCTATCATCTTGTCATTACATCATTTACTCCTCTGACCGGCCCTTCTGGATGAGCACTGGTATCATCTCCATTTGGCAGATGAAGGAACTGGGGCTGATAGAGGCTACTGAAGTATCCAAAGTCATCAAAGTCTATGACCCAGAATTCCATTTCACTGTATTTGCTGGGTAGGTGTGTTGGAGTATGGAAACACAATAAATTAAAATTTTTGCTTACAAAGTGTATAAGCAAACCTGAAAAAACTTAACTAGTTGCCTTTTGAATTCTGGGAAGAGACACTTTCTGAACAGTGACTCTGAAAACCTAACTCTACCCCAGTACCTGCTGGCCTGGTTCTCAACTCTCCTAATGCTCTTCATATGCCACTGCATGGATTGAGAAATAGCACTTCTCAGCACTGTGCAGCCCAATGACACAGCCAATGGGCAGCTGCAGGCTGGAAGAGGGAGAAGATATGTCACAAACAAACGCACTTATTAATCAATCTTGGAGTTACAAATTAGCACAAATAATATGTGAATTGTTTTTGTTGTCATTGCTGTTTGGGAGTTTGTGATTTGTTTTGTTTTGTTTTTTGACAGGGTTTCACTGTGTAGCCCTGGCTGTCCTGGAACTCACTTTGTAGACCAAGCTGGCCTCAAACTCACGAGATCCGCCTGCCTCTGCCTCCCTAGGGCTGGGATTAAAGGCTTGTGCCACAACATCTGGTTGTTTGGGAGTTCTTGATCATGCAGTTACTGTTGTTTTTCTACAATAGGCACCAGGCACAGGTTGGACACTCAGCTACAGCTACAGCAGCAGCAGCAGCAGCAGCAGCAGCAGCAGCAGTGCACAAAATAGCAATTCAAACTCACCTGTTATACAGCTTCTCGTAAAAGCTTTTATTGGGCAGTGTCATGTGGATATTTGGTAGCAAAAGTTCCAGCACATAGTGAGAATTGCTGATGGCTTTATCCTGAAATTCTGTCATCTCTACAGGGTCTCCCGGCATCACCATCTAAAACAGAATGGTTTAGTGTGAGAAAAAGCATAAAAGATGCAATCTATGTTTAAAATAGTAGCAGCATTTTAAAAATTACTATAACATGTACCACGTGAGCAAATAGATAAACATGACCTTTAACTAGGGAGAACATATATCAAGAAAAATAGACATCAAACTTGGTGCTACAAACTAGTACAAGGAATACACGGATTCTTTTTGTTGTTGTTACTGCTATTTGTCACTGTTGTTTCTTGCTGATGGTGTTATTATTATTTGTTCAACAGGGTCTTGAGATGTCTCCCAATCTGGCTTCAAACTTGCAATCCTCCTGCCTCTACCACCCAAGTGCTAGGATTACATACAGTATTCTTTCAAAAATAAAGAACTAGCCAAGTGTAGCGGCACAGGCCTGTAATCTCACAACTCAGAGGCAGAGGCAAGAGGAACAAAGTTCAAAACTAACCTGAGACACAAAGAGAAAAGGAGGGAAAGGAGTGGGGAGGGGAGGGGAGGGGAGAAGAGGGAAGCATGGAAGCCTCTCTCTGTGGCTGGGATAATCGCCCTGCAGAGTCCTCACACTTCTCTTTTACCTGCTCATTCTCAAACATAACTCTACGAGAGGAAAAGGGAGATGGGGCTGGTCGCCTCAGGTCACAGACATCTTTCAGGGAATGAGCCCCTCCTTCCTCCTCTTCCTGGTAGTGACCATCATTCTCTTCCTCCTCTTCAGCTGCTATTCTCTCCAAAATGGAATGCATGGCTGGTGGATTTATTTTCAGTACCATTCTGATTGACAAGATGATTTGAAAAATCAAGACATAAGTATAAACAGCAACATTTCTACTTGATGCAAATTTACAGAATGAACACTGATTAAATGTTAATACAATCAGACTGACTTATAATGCCCATGCCTGCTGTAACCCACTTATGAACAGGCAGTATATATATAACTCAGCATATAACTCAAGCAAATAAAAGAACATTAGCAGTATATCCTTGGCTAACTGAAAGTCTAACTTCTTGAAAATCCCATTAGAGCCCTGCATTTGCTTACCGTGGCCAGTCAAAGTCATCTGATGAGGCTGTGTCTCCATCTACTCCACCAGACACATGGAAAAATTTGACAGATGGCTCTCCCTTCTCCTCCTGGAATGACCCTACACAACCGAGATGGCGTTACTGCAATGTGCTCCTTCTCAAATGCTGAAGACCAGATCATTCAGAACTCTTCAGACAGACCCTCATGCTCTACACCACTCATTCATTTGTTCCTGCTTTAATGTGGCCTGTGCTAGGCAGAATGTTCAGAAAAAGATGCCAGTTTTTCTTCAAAATTCTTGACTAGTGTTTCATGTGTAAGACACATAATTATAACACAGCCAATGTCAGCCTCTACCTACTGAGTGCTGGTAATGATTTCCTTGTGCGTATTTGAGGGCATCAGGTAACTGTTCTGTCACTCATCATCTCATTCCTTTGAGGCAGGAGCTGGAATGTTTTTTGTTAAGCTGGCAGCCAGCAAGTTCCAGGGACCACTTTCTACTCCCAAGCACTGTGGTTTCAGGAATATGAGGGTGACCACGCTCAGCTTGTTAGATGAGTGTTGGGATCTGAACTTGGGTCTTCATGGTTTGACAAGTTCTCTTAACCACTGAGCCATCTCTCCAGCCTCACTTCTTCACAGAAGAAAAGTTTATGGCTTGGAGCTATATCTCAGAGGTAGAGTAATTGCCCAGCATATAAGGCCCTGAATTCGGTCCTTAGCATGGCAGAAAAAAACAAAGAAAAGCTTATCAGCTAACTGACCACTGTAAACATAATTACACAAACAGACTCCAGTGTCACTCTGTACATGCGAAGTAACTCCACCACACTGGCTTTGCACTGCCCTTCATTGTTTCCCTCTAAATCAGGAGTATCATGTCAACAGAGATAAGGGAGGGCAGAGTGTACCTAAATATCATCTCATGAGGTAGTAACTGGCAAGTGCCCATTTAAGTATCTCCAAAAACCTGCCAAACTCAGAGATCAGGACAGACAAGGGACAGTTTCCAAGCCTGGGGTGTGAGTCCCCTCACTGGTATCCGAGGACAGTTTCCACACACCCTGCTCACTGACCCACAGACACAGGACACACCAGGTCTTAGCCAGGTTTAACACAGGTGTCACAGGAGTGAGTTTAGGTGGTGACTGAGAACTCAGGCTCTGGTGTCAGAGTGGCCTGACTACCCATGAGCTGGGAGACACATGCTCTTCAGCCCACAGGTCAGGAAATCTAGCATATGGTGGGAACAACTAAAGGAAATGACAGGATGGATGTGACCTGCTACTACAGGACCCAGCAGGAAGCAGCATACAGACTGCCCAGCCTCTGCCACACAATAAACAGAAAGCAATGCTAAAAAAGGCTAACACTACATTCCTACAGAAAATAAGAGCTTCACCAAAGCAAATCATTGTGATGCATCTTTTTTTTTTTTTAAGACAGGTTTCTCTGTGTAGCCCTGGCTGGCCTGGAACTCACAAAACTCAGCCTGCCTCTGCCTCCCAAGTACTGAGACTAAAGGCGTGTGCCACCACTCTGCTCCATCTCCACACAATTCTGGGGGAAAGCTGCTGCTCTGTTCTCTAAGTGTTCCCAATTCTGCCATCTTGGATGCTGTCAAGAGCAGTGTTCCACACATAGTCTACGCTCCACAGGTGTGTTCAGTCTTACCAGTTAGCTCTCTAAAAGTCAGTTCCAGTTTAGTTTGTTCTGGGGTGGATCCTCCCACAAACTCCGTCTTAGACTCCAGATCTGTGAATGCTAAATGGAGGGTCTCCTTCTGAAGAGACTTCTTAAACCAGGGTCCTCTTTCCTGGTCTGACCGAAGATCAGGAATGGGGAAGCGAACAGAAAGATGCAGCGCTGGGGTGGCGACTTGTACAGACACCCGGCGATTTGCAGGGCTGTGTGTGTCATCTAGAAACACTTCAGTGAAAGCCTTGTGCTGAAACATAAATCACAGCAGTGCTTAGCATTTCATGTTATCTACTCCCCACACGCCACAATGCACCCACATACAATTCACACAAACCACTACCGTACAATGAAGCTTCAAATGTAACTGTTGGGGCAATAGCTGAATCTTCATATAAAAATAAGTAAGTAAAAATAAAGACAGGCAGTACATTTCCCTACATATCTTATTATAATCTAAAGAGAAAGAAAAGGTATGAAGCAGCCTAACAAATCCAATAAGGCTAAAAACCACTACCATAGTCAACACTCAGTTTGAAGAATTTGCCCATTTTCAGCTGCCCTAAAGATCCAGTGTGAACTCAGATGACTGCAGTCATATATATATATATACACACACAGGCCAGTGTTACTCATCTTTGTTTCCACGCCTATGTTCAGAGCCTAGCACACAAAGGTTCCAAGTGTTCACTAAAGGACTCCTGAGTTCCCCCAGGCAGTCAAAAGCATACTATTCAAATACAAGTCAACTTCTAATTTTCATAAAAGGTCCTGAAACTAACAAAGGCTTCAATATTCATCTTCTGAGTCAGTGTCCAGCTTCTCAGGAAGCTCCCTTCTCACGGCAGACTGGGATTTACAATTACATGTAAAGCAAGCATCTAAGGCCATGGGCTTTTCCCTGGCATCTTCCGCACATGTCAGCATGCTTTGTTCCCATTCATTCTTCTTCCAAGTCCCTCCCCCTTCTACCAGATTCCCCTTCTTCCTAAAGTTAGGCACCAGGATTTTCACAGATCTATTCTATCTCTTCTGTTTGGCTTCCTAACACAAGCTCCACTCTCACACTAAAGAAACCTAGGGATGGGGCTGGAGAGATGGCTCAGCGATTAAGAGAACTAACAACTGGTTGGTGGGTGGTGCATGCCTTTAAACCCAGTGCTTGGGAAGCAAAGGCAGGCGGATCTCAGTGAGTTTGAGGCCAGCCTGGTCTACAGAGTGAGATCCAGGACAGCCGGGACTGTTACACAGAGAAACCCTGTCTCGAAAAACAAAAATCAAACAAAAAACAAAACAACAACAAAGAGTACTGACTGCTCTTCCAGGAGCCAGGTTCAAGTCCCAGCACCCACATGGCAGCTCATACCTGTCTGTAATTCTGTTCTAGGGTATCTGACACCTTCACACAGACAGACTTACATGCAGGCAAAACACTAATGCACACAAAATAAAAAAGAAAGAGAGAGGGGGGGGGGAGGGAGGGAGGGAGGGAGGGAGACAGATGACCAATGCAGCCAAGGTTAACAGCAAATAGAGACCGGCCTATACACTTAACTACCAACAGGCAGCCATGGAAGATAAAGAATGCTGCTTTAGACTAAACACCAGGACTGAAGGGCAAACCAATCAGGAAATAAAATGTCTTTGCCCTTTTCCTTGTCATTTTAGATTGAGTCTCATGTTTCCTAAGCGTGTCTCAAATGACAGTCCTCCTGTTTCAACCCCAGAGCACCGTGATCACGGGCACTCACTGCTCTATTGAGTCCTTTGCACTACAGCTGCCTCTCAGGCTGGACCTGGCCCTACAGGCCACACATTCCAACTCCCAATGCACCATTACAAGTCCACTCCACATACCAGATCCGAGCAAAAGCAATGCAATGTGATGCCCAGCACCACTCTTCATTCTCAAAAGCTATCCTGTGCTATTTGGGCTTTAGTTATTATCGTTCAAGTTTATGAAATGTATGAAAACAAAACTTCATGAAGTTGTTACAGTATTCTCCGGGGCAGAAAAAGAAGTCTAGTGCAATGGTGCTATAATCCAATGCTGTGCTGTTGTGTCTAGTCATTCTTCTGCACATCAGTCTAGTTTTAACAGTAGTCTAAGGGAAGCCAGACAGAGTAGCACATGCATGCAAGTTTCCCACTGGGAAGGCTGAGGCAAGATGAACATAAGTTCCTGACCAACCTGAGCCAATAATGAGATGCTATCTCAAAAGGTTAAAAAAAAAGTTTGCATGGAAAGACATTCTACTTCTCCCTTAACTCTTCCTGAGAAGCCTTCTTCATGGAGCTGATACCACACAGCACACCCTGTCAGAAATGAAGCAGGAAATGTCTCCCAGGAGAATTAGCAAACCTTACCTGGTTATTATCAGGGCAAAGAAGGTGCACCGTTGAGCTAGGTGGTGCACACTGTAACCCCAGCTCTAGGGAGGTAGAGGCAGAAGGATCAAGAGTTCAAAATCATCTCTGGCTACTTCTCAAGTTTTAGGTCAGAATGCATGAAAAATAAGAATAATTTTTAAGCCAGGTATGGTGGCACATGCCTTTAATTCTAGCACTTGGGGAGCAAAGGCAGACAGATCTCTAGAGTTCAAGAATAGCCTGGTCTACAAAGTGAGATCAAGGATAGTCAGGGCTATGTAGAGACCCTGTCTCAAAAAATAAAAAAAAATTTAAAAATATAAGTAAAAAATAATTTAAAGTGTCTATTTTTTTACTATTATAAATAATATTGTTCTAATATAGTCTATTTAATCTATTAGGACTTTTCTCAGAAAACCCAATAAGTACATGCTTATGTGCAACTTTATACATACTTACCAAACTAATATGTTTATTATATGATGCATACATGTGCGACGCCATCATCTCTACTGTAGTGAGTTTCTGTGGTTGAAGCAAGGAATTTAACCTATCCACAATACTGATATCCAGTTCACAACACACTGGATTTAATTTAATTTGTAATTCTGCCTTCTGAGGAACTGAACTCAGTCTTGCTTGATTACCCTTGGGGAAAAAAAAACACACACACATACAATTATTAACAAAAGTATAAAACTAAGTTAAAAACTTAACAACTGTGACACAAACCAAACCATCTGCAGTGGTGGCCACGCAGAGGTCTCTCACCTGGGGTCCTCTAGTCTCAGAGTGCTTATAGTGAAGCTGCAGACACACGGGGAGATGGCCATCAGTCCCGTCTTTGGAATGGAACGTTAGAAGCTAAAGACAAGGATGGAGACGTGGTAAAGCCGGGCTATTAAGCTGAAATCGATCATGTAAATCCAGAGGCAGTACTGTAGTGGGAAGAGCTCTCCGAGTCAGAAAAGCTGGCCCCAAACATCATTTGTGTCACTCTCTAGCCACGTCAGCCTCACTCAAGCAGCTAACTTCTGTGAGACTCAGCACCTCATATGAGACAAGGGTTCAAACAGATCAATATCTAAGAAAAAACTTGGAAAACAAAATAAAATAGCAGGCTCACAGCCTGCCTGCCTCCTCGGATAACTCTCATTTCATTTAAAATATTTACTAGCTTCATAGAAGAACCTTGAATGACATACTTTAAGATTTGTTTCAACAATCACAAAGATAAAAAATAACACACACACTTTGTGATGCTGGCATGTTTTAAAGAAAATTATTGTTGTTCACTCAATTTTTAAAAAAGCAAATTAAATGTAAAAAACCATCTCAAAGGGGTATCCAGCATTTACCTCTGTGTAGTGGGGAGGGACAGAATGAAAATCCGTTGGAAACAGACACTCCAAAAACTCCATCTGCCCAATGGACATGTCAGTGCTAAAATGCCGGGAAGCCGACCTTTGTCTCTGCTCATAGGACACTTTGATGCCGGTACCTATAAATCTACCATTAAAAAAAAGAGCATTTCAGAGTCTCCAAATGCTTCTCAATTAAATAATATACATAAGCCTAGAGAATAACATGCAAATGTTAGTATAATAACCACATGCTTACTCTAACAAGTTCAAGCTGTTAGTGGTCATTAACATCCCTAAGGACATGAGCTTCACATTTCCTACTCCTTAAATCTTTACCATGGGAAACTTCCCAGGATGCCTGTATTGCCCAACAGTGTCCTTCCTTCTTCCACACTCCAAACTGCAGTGGATAAAATATCTCAGATCCAGCCAGGCATTGTGGCACACACATGCCTTTAATGTCAGCACTTGGGAGGCAGAGGCAGATGATCTCTGTAAGTTTAAGGCCAGTCTAGAACATAGTAAGTTCCAGGACAGCCAGGGTTACACAGCAAAACTTTGTCTTAAAACAAAACAAAAAAACTTTAAAAAAAAATTCAGATCTATGAAATGGGTTCTTAAAACTATCTAAAAATGGGGTGGGGGTGGGGGGTGGGAGGAGGGAGGACCGGGGAATCTGTGGTTGATATGTAAAGGGAATAGAAAAATCTCTTAATTAAAAAAAAGTATCTAAATATATCATTCTGGCGGGGCATGGTGGTGAACACCTGAAATCCCAGTACTCTGGAAGATGACACAGGAAGCTGATGGCTTGAGACTGGTGTTTTGAGAGTTGAACAACAATCATGCAGTACTCTGAACTTCAGCAGGCGGGGTTCACAGGTTTTGTGTCAGAGTCCTACTGGCAGATATCTGGAACTTTGATACAACTGAGGGAAATGTTCGTACAATGTAATCTGAAGTACTATTGCCCTAACCCTTAGAGTATCTTTGGATGGGGTCCAAAAACTACTTCACATGTTAGTTCTGACACGCCAGAAAATTTAGCTTACCATAACCTTAAGCTGGGGGTAAGGGTTTAGCTCAGCTGGTAGAGCACTAGCCTTGCATGCATGAAGCCCTGGGTCCAACCCCCAGCACTGCCTAAAACCAAGACGGTGGCTCACACCTCTCATCACAGGAGGCAGGGGCCAAAGGACAGGGAAGACAGGGTTATCTAAGGCTGCCTGAAAGTCTGAGGCCAGACTAGACTATATCATGAGATCCTGTCTCCATATACAGGCATTCTCTAAAATACATTTATATTAAAGTATGCAGTATTTGCATGCTAACCCTATATTCTCCAATTCAGTCGGCTCATCTCTTAGGCCTCATTGCACGACGGCTCACAGCTGTAAGAATCAGCAGAAAATGAAGCATTCATACTCTCAGCCCAGGATTGCTATTACTCCCCACCTCATGGTCTAGCATCGGTCCCGCCCTCAGAACCACCATCATCTCTGCCACTGCCAGTGCCAAAAAGAACCATTTCCATCATTTCAATAGTGATAGCAGGGATGATGGCAAAACGTGGTAAGACAAACTTGGCGAGAACAGGGAGGGAGCTACAAACTATCTAGATCTGTATCTGCATCATTCCCACACTACACAATGTGAAGGAGAGACCCTACGGATGTATCTCTGTAAGACTGCAGTAAATTTCACTCGTTAGCCACTGAAAACCAAAACAGGGAGGTAGACAGATGCTACAGTGTGTATTAGGCTCTTTCTGATGTATCATTAGTAACAAGGAGAGTTCACCTGAGGTGATCGTGTGAACAAGCATCTGCAAAGACTGCTCGAAAAGCCTTAAAGTCTTCTGTCGACAGTCTGGTTGGGTCCATCTTCTCTATACAAGAGAAGAACGCAACGGCCATGGGTGTCAATGGATTGACGTTCGGAGAGGTTTCCGCTGGAGACAAAGGATCGATGTGCAGCACGGAGACTGAGAAGATGCCCACAGCCAGTCTACAGATGAACTCAGGCCTGGATTCATCCACTGACACAGACCTAGAGGGGAGAGCTGAAATACATGGAATTCTCTAAGTCAGAATTCAAAACACCTTAAACAGACAGCTAACCTGTTCATCTGGTATGCGGGACTCGGAAGTACAAGAGTCCATCTCAGTACGTAGAAATGTGTGAACACATTTTTTGCACCATAAAACTGTTAGAAAAAAAAAAATCAAAGCCGGGCGGTGGTGGTGCACACCTTTAATCCCAGCACTCAGGAGGCAGAGCAAGGCAGATCTCTGTGAGTTCAAGGCCAGCCTGGTCTACAGAGTTAGATCCAGGAAAGGCGCAAAGCTACATAAGAAAAACCCTGTCTCTCAAAAAAAAAAAAAAAAAAATCAAGATTAACCAAAAGCTGCACACTGAATTCTCCTTTAAGCTTGCCAATTTTCCAGTTAAATTTTGAAGAGTAAGGATCAAGAGTGCAGAACAGTGGTAAAGCAATTGCCTAGCATGGTCAAGGTACTAAGCTTAATCCCCAGTCCTGGGGAGGGAAATGCAGAATCGAAACTGAAACTTTTTTTTTAAACAAACATTATAAAAACAATGAAAAAAAGAGTCAAGAAGCTAGAGTATAATGATGGAGCATTGGCTGGGTACAGTCAAGGCCTCTGGTTCTATGCCCAATGGTACACACGAATACACACATAAACACACACAGGCCCATACACATACACACAAGCACACATACACACATAAACATGCCTACACATACACATATACAAACACACACATGCATGTGTGCATATACACTTACACACAAACATACATGTATGCACATACACACACCACACACACACACAAATACACCATACACAAACAGGTACACATAAACACACACACACCACACATAAACACACAGAGACAAATCAGACAGTTGAATGAAAGCTTTAAATTGCAATGATATGAAGTGTATGGTATTTTTCCATAATATCTATGTATTCAAATATATAAAGACTATAATGAGAGCCAGGCATGGTGGTACACACCTAGTAACCTAGCACCCAGGAGGTGGAGGTAAAAAGATCAAGTGAGACCACAGCTATCAGCCTGTGCTACATGAGACCCTATCTCAAAAACAAAATTAAACAAAAAGAATATAATGAATAAGTATAACTATTCTAAAATATTTTCCAATGAACTGTTCAATTATTCTTTTCTTTCTAAACTTTGTGATTGTCCAAGACTAAAAGAGACATTATGAAAGACATACATACAAAATGTGATAGTACAGAGTGCAGGCTTGCCATGTACAAGGCCTTGGGTATAATCCCAGGAGCAAAGAAAAAATAAATAGATGAATGATTGATAATAGATGAGACACAGGTAGACAGACAGACAGAGATATACATAGGTGATACAGAGAGAGAGAGATAGAAAATGGATCAGATGTTTATTCTGACAGGAGGGAGAAGGAAAAAGCAAAACACATTATCTTAGAAATACACACTTTTCCTTTAATTTTCAAGGCCTCTGGTAGACACTAACCTGCTTTTTGTAAAGGCGCCGGGTGGACCAAATCAGATGGGAATGCTGGCCCTCTCACAGGCTGCTCTTTATGGTCCGCAAACTCTCCCCAAGTTGGCTGCAGCTACAAAAGATTGGTTTGAAATACATGAACAAAGTGTAGGATCTCAGAAGTGCCTTCTGAAAAACAGAAGAAATGGAGTAATACTTTACCACAGTAGCACTTAGCGGTGATCCTGCAGGTGTGTTTGTATATGTACTAGTCAGGGATAACTCCAGGTCCATGTGTGGAGGGTCCCCAAGGGGTGGAAGAGACGACAGACTGTGAGACATGTCCATGTCTGCCATGGAGAAGAAAACTTCTTCTTCTGGAGAGAATTAGAGTTCGTCATGATACATCCCACCCATGTGCTCCTTCAAGAAGTTTAGACACACTAAAGAATCTTCCTCCCTGGCTCAGTTGCCTTTAGCCTACTGGCTATGGGTGAGATAGGACCTCTGTTGGTCTTTTCTGTATCGAACACACAGATTGCAAGCCCAGTGCCACTTTGAGATCTTTGGCAGCAATTAACCATGCAGCTCACACACGATTGAGCCGGTATGATAATGAGTATTCAGAGACGGGTAATGCCTGGGGGGCACTCAACAACCTAAGACAGAGCACCTGTGTGGCCTGGGCAGGCGTCTCCATGACAGGTAAGGTGACCTGCTGACATCCCATGCAACCCAAGTCAGAAGCTCATTTTTTAATAAAAGGGGGACCTGCAGAGCCCTGGCCCCCGTTTTGGGTAACTGTTGCTTTGCTTGCTGACCTTGACCTTGATATCCTCCCAATGCTAATTCCCTGCCAGGTTCCACCCTCCTGAATACTTAAGGGAAGTTCCTTGTCTGTGTATCCTGAATAATGGGCGTTAACAGCTTAGATGCAAGATTGTAAAACATCAGTAGCGAACTTCTGCCCTCTGGGGTCCTCCCATTGTGCTGTAAGCCTGTATTTAAGACCTCCTACCCCCTTCAAGAAATGACATTCGACATTTAAAATTAAATATTTAAATATATGTATATTATATATATAATTGAATGAATACTGCTAATGTAGTCTGTGAATACCACAAATGTGATTAATATCATGAGTGTAATTTAATAAATAAATAAAAAAGAATATTCCTCCTACTACCCGAGACACAGCTGTGAGTAGTGTCTGAGCATGGCCATTGGCAGCACAGTAAACACACAACTGCACAGTCAGCAAAGGTCGAGCCTCCCCGAGTCCTCTGTGGGTTTACATGACATGCAGCAATACAGCAAATTGTTAGTTGTCATATGGCAAGTTAGAAGTAAAAATTCAGATTTTCAAATGGCATCAGCTCACACAGGGCCCTGTGTTTCATCTTCAGCACCAAATTGCAAAAAATAAAATTCTGTAACTCTATTGCAGTCTTTGGCGTCTTACAGAAACAGCTATTTTCCAGATGGAAAGAGGGACCAGAGACATTTAGAATTCTAATGACAATTCAGTGCCTTCTCTCTACTGATTGTCTGACCTCACATAAATCAAGCTTGTTATGTCTCAAAGTTCTATCTTCAGTAGGCTTTACTTTTTATTTGGTTCACACTTCTCCGTATTTTTACTATTTACACTAGTGCTTATGTGGTCAAAAAATCCCTGTAATGTACAGTGAGCTGGGTAACAATTGCACCAACAAGATGGAGAGACTAGCAATGCTTCCTGCTTAGGGCTGTCTGCTGCACACAATCACATGAACACACAATGAAGTAATGACAGTTATTCCCAAGCTATTTATGTGTCGGTCTACCTTTTCAAAAACTGACTTCCCTTAGGGAAAAATGCCATTGCTTAGACCAACCACACCTGAAAATGGTAGTGCGGTGTATCACTGCATTGCTCGCGGGCCGACAGGAAAGAGTAAATGCCCCCGTGTCTCTGTTCTCCATTGCTACACGCCTTTTGTTCATAGAAGGCAAAATCAAGACTAATTCCACCTGTAGGATGACATAGGACTGAGTTGCGCTGCTTACCACGGCTAGAAGGTGTGCGAGCCGTTTCTGTCTCATAGAAGCTCTTCTCTGAAGATACACCCATAGACAGGGAATCTTTCCTCAGATAATATCGGTTTAATTCCATCTGAATTCGATACTCGTCTTCCTGCTGCATGGGTCGATTCTTCCTGTCTTTATTAGCTAACCCTATTTTGCTAGAATTTTCTACAAATATATAAAAAGAAAGAACAATTCAATTTGTAGTTAGTTAAACATTTCTTTCTAAAACCCCACTTAAGCAATGGCAAGCTGACCACACTAGCAGAAAGCTGGTTACATCAATCTGAGGTCTAAGCAGCAGCGGGAAGCCGGTAGCCAACAATGTAAACTCTCACCTCTACTTAAGATGTGAGTGCCTAGTGTGTGAGACTCATTGTGGACAAAAATTTTGGTTTTTGTATCTAAACTCTCACCTCTAGAAGATGTAAGTACCTAAAAACAATGTGTGCAACTCACTATGTACAAAAAATATGATTTTTGCTATTTGGGTTTTGTTTTGCATTTTTGTTTTTGTTTTTGTTTTTTCATGACAGGGTTTCACTGTGTAGCCCTGGCTGTCCTAGAACTCGCTTTGTAGACCAGGCTGACCTCGAACTCACAGAGATCTGCCTGCCTCTGCCTCCCAAGTGATGGGATTAAAGTTATGCACCACCACTGTCTGGCTATTGTTTTGGTTTTTTGATACAATGTTTTTCTATGTAGCCCTGGTTGTCCTAGAACTTTCTTTGTAGACCAGGCTGGCCTTGAACTCACAGAGATCCTCTTGCCTCTGAGATATGAGCCACCACTGCCTGACTCAGAACAATTTTTAAAATGAATGTAACCAAATAACCTGAATGCAAATTTACAGCATAATACAGTTTCAAAGATCTAATCCAATCAAGAAATTAGAACATCTACTTAAAATACACCTCTAATGTCACATACCCCCAAAATAACACATTCTCATCTATCTATGTTAATATTTTCACCTAAGAGTTTCAAGAATTACAGGAAATAATCATAACAGTCATACTTGCCTGGTCCAGCAATAGCTGCTAACATATCCAAAAGCAGGTGTACTTGCCTTGGCGACAGGAATAGATGAATGGAATCTATCTGTCCATCAACATCCAACTTAAAAACATAAGAACAGTTAGGAATAAGTACAAGTTCATTACCAGGAATTGGAGAGCTGTCAGGGCATTGAGGTAAGTATCACTATTGGTGCTGGGCAGTTTCACCTAATGCACACAGTCTCAACAAAAGGGCATAAAGACCAGCAACTGTGGCTGCAGGAGGGAAAGTCCGGAGAAATTCCATGTCAGCAAGTCCAATGCCATGCCGTCTGTCTCTAAGTCTTCTGGAGACTACAGAACACAGCAACAAGACGGTATTCATCACCCTTCAGAACAACCAAGTCCTCAAAATCAATGACGTCAGGGTCCGTAAGACAGGGCCGGCCACACTGGACTCCACAGCATGCCCCTCAGTGGCCTACTGCATGGACACTACTTTCTCCTGCACAGGAGGCTAGAAGCCACAGCCGGAACCCAGGCAGAAAGCAGTGCTAATGGGTGCTTCCTTTCTTGTTCTCGATGCACACTGTCCCCGTGTGTCTCACTTTGTGTGGTGAGCACCGAGCCATCACACAGCTCCTGCTTTCTTGTTACTGCTACTGTTTACAGACAAGGAAACAGATCCACAAAGCAAAGGTCACAGCCCCACAGCCAGGTCTGAATCTAGGCAGACACAAATGCAAGGCTTACTCCTTCTACGACATGGCTCTCCTGGTGTGCCTACAGACTGAGTGTTTTGTGGGGCTCCTACAGACCGCTGACACCCAGGCCACATCCAGAGTGGGCAAATGTGTTTCTGTTACTAGACACATTTGTTTCTTGGACTGAAAGCACATACAGTCTCTGGTTTTCATTAGGATGGAAGATCAGTAGTTTAGCTTCTAATTGTCATAGGAATATTTCATTATGGGTACATCCTGAATTTGAAATACAAAGAACAAAGTACTCATTGATTTCTTTTGAAAATATAAAACACTGAAAATAACAACTAAGCATTTTTCAACACAGTGTAAGGTAATACAAATTTCTCTAAATTCAACCAAAGCAGTCCCCTGCTTCCGTCTCAATAATTTCCTAAAAACTCCACTAAAACTGAATGTGTGATATACAACAGACTCCAGGGGCACTATCTCAGAAACTAGAGCAGAAAATCGTGCGACATTTGAACCCACAGCTGAAAGGCTCGGGTTTAAGGAATGCTGGAAGAGACTAAAGCCTACCCTGGTGTGCTGCCCCATGCTGCCCTGTTACATCTATTCTGAGTTGCCATTTCTAAGCTCTATGCTGCCCAGTGTTGATCTCCAGAACTTACTTTTCCCATATAATATTCATTTACATTAAAGAAAATATACAAATACTCAAATTAGTATGCAAAAACATTAATGTATAGGCAAGAATAACAGTATCTCCAACTACCCAATACTGTCTGAAACTGGAATATAACACCACCACACAAAACTACCACTCATTCTTCTGTCCCTTAATATGCAGAACTCTAAAAGCAACATAGAGAATAGTTACACAAATCTAGTCAGTGCGCAAAACTTTCTATCTGCATTGAAATCAAAGCTTACGAATGTAGAAGACTACATCCAGCTAAAACAGACCACAAAAGCTTTTTTCATGGCACTTGCTTCTTTAAGAAATGGCATATGCGCTCCCCAAAGACACATATGTGCTGGTTTCCCAAGGCTGTTGCCACAGCAGGGCAGTCCCTGCAGCATTTACAGCTAGCTACACTATCTGCTCCATTAATGACCTCCTCAGAAAGAAGCAAGGGAAGCCCTGGTAGAGGACTTCTTAACCTGAGAGCAGTTGGCAAAACAGGAAGGAAAATCTGGGCTGGACCATTGAGAGTAAAAAGAATAGATACTTAGTCACAAGACAGCTCATAGCAATCAAGCACTAAGCCACTGTGAAGAGAAAACAAAACAATACTGACCTTGGCTCCCGGAAGCACTTCATTCTGTTTCAGAGTGAGACTCAACTCCAGCCTGCCCACTAGCCCTCCAATCTGCACTGGATCCGAGGGTGCTATCTCTGGTAAAGTTCTAGTTAGCTGTGGGTGTGGCTCATAAACAATTTTGGGGTTCCAGCTAGGTGACAGCTTTGGCTCAGTTTCCTACAATAATGTAATAAAAATAAAGTAACTATTTAAAATATTTCAGCATAAATGAGTCAGGGTGTATATAAATGTCATCTTTGGATTTGACATGCAAAACAGCATCATTACACTAGACATACCATTATCTTGTGGCTAAAATGAGGCTGTACTATGTTAGTACAGCACCTTGGAAATAAAAACAAGCCATCAAAAAAAACTTTATGAAAAGAGCACAGAGCCAGCAAGATGGCCCAGTGGGTAAAGGCACTTGCCCCAAACCTGGAGACCTGAGTCCGATCCCACAATGCACATAAGGATGGAAGAACTGACTCCACAAAGTTGTCCTCTAATCTCCACACACATGCCCCCAAATACAGTACACGCAAGTGTGTGTGTGTGTGTGTGTGCTGGTCCACACTGCACATATACATTATCTGTTCAAATAATACACAATGTGTAAACCAAACCAATATGGAAGTAATGCCTGGAATTCCAGCATTCGGGAGGTTGAGACAAGAGATCACCAGTTTGAAGTCACCCTAAGCCACAGTGACAAAGTGAGAGACTCTGTCTCAAAAAAAATAAATAAATAAATAAATAAATAATAATAAAAGGAAAAAAAGACCCAATTTGTGATATAAAAGGCAAATTATAGATTTACCAACTTATAAAAGGATTCCATGCTTGATAAAGAATTAAGAATTCCTCTTTGTTTTTTTTAAATATTTTATTATTTTTTTATGTATGAGTATTTTACGGGCATCCATGTCTGTGCATGACATGTGTCCCTGGAGGCTAGCAGAGGGCATCAGATCCGTTAGAGCTAGAATTACAGATTGTTGTGTCTGGAATTGAACCTGGATCCTCTGGAAGAACAGTCAGTGCTCTTAACCATTGAGCCATGTATCCAAACCCAAGAATAAGAACTCTTGATAACAGAAATCACCTAAGGTATGCTTCCCATGACAATGCTCACTAACAGAGCCATTAGTCATGGAAGGTGACACGCTCCTTCATGTGAAGGGACGAGACCCTACACGAGCCCCTTTTCTAGTGGCTGTGACAAAGTACCTGGCAAGCAGCACCTTAAGGAAGGGAGGGTTTCTTCTGGCTCAGGTGCAGGCACACATTCCACCAGGGTGGGAAAGGCAAGGCGGCAGGAGGCCAGCTGCTCACACCGCACCCACAGTCAGAGGGCAGGCTCCAGCTCAGTCTCTCTTCCTTATGTGGTCTGAGACCCATCCCACTGAATGACATCACCCACATTGAGGGAAGCCCTGTCCACCTAATCTAGAGAATCCTCACAAGCATGCCCAGAGGCTTGACCACTGGGATTAGCTCCCCCAGATGTTAACGACTCATTCTAACTACAGATATGTAGAAAACATTTCTCCATTAACTAATGAGCAGCAGGCCAGCAGGCCAGGCAGAGCTTTAGGGCTTTGGGGCTGGTCTCAGCTATATTAGCTGAATATTTACATTAACATCTGATTTGCTAAACCAGATGGGGAAACTCATTAGTGAATGCTGTATTCAAGAAAACTTAACAATTCCTGGGTTCTTTCTTCCTAGATAGAGACTCACTAGTAGCCCAGACTGCCCTCCTGCTCAGCTTCTCAAGTGCTGTACTCCCATACCTGGATGAAAGTCTTTATTTAAAACTTCCAAAAAACTGTGACCATGTTTTGGGTTGTTTTGTTGGACTGGTTTTTCGTTTGGTATTTTGAGACAAGAGTCTCTGTGTATACATATACCTGGCTGGCCTTGAACTCACTATCTGAGGATGCCCTTGAATCTCTGATTCTCCCGATTCTCCCGCTCTTACCTCCCAAGGGTGGTGATAAGACCTAGGACTTCATGTATGCTAGGCTAGCCCTCTACCAACTGAACAACACCTCCACCACTGTCCGGGGGATTGTGTTTCAATTTTCTTACCACTGGTGCAGTTGAACACACTGGGGAAGATTTTGTTGAAGCAGAAAATTCATCCCAGAAGAGAGACACTCCAGAGAGCTGCAGCAATTTGTGAGCAAAAGCTGTGGGCTGATGCACATTGACGCCTGAGGACTCGTCAGCAGTTTCATCACAGTACACGGTTCTGAAAGGTACAAAAGGACATTTGGACACAAGTCCAAGGAAACACACTTGCAACAGTTTTTTAAAGGAAGCAGTGCTGGCACCCCTAAGACTATGCCCAGCATAGAGAAGGTAGAGGCAGGAGGACCAGGAGTTCAAGGGCAGTCTGAGCTACATGAGAGTCTGTCTCAGAAGACTTTTGTTTGTTTTGTTTTGAGACAGGGTTTCTCTGTATAGCCCTGGATATCATGGAACTTCTCTGTATACCAGGCTGGCCTTGAACTCACAGATAATCTGCCTGCCTCTACTGTGCTGGGATTAAAGGTGTGCACCACCACTGCCTAGCAAAAGAATTATATTTAACTGGGAATAAAAAGATTGATTAGGCCAGTGGTGGTGGCACACACCTTTAATCCAAGAACTCAGGAGGCAAGCAGATCTCTGAGTTTGAGGCCAGCATAGTCTACAGAATGAGTTCCAGGACAGGATCCAAAGCTAGAGAGAAACCCTGTTTTGAAAAAGAAAAGAAAAAAAGAAATAGGGGGATTAGAAAGAGTGGGAACAGACAGCAGAGAATAATTGTGTAACTGTGTGTCTATGTGTGGGTGTACATGCACACATGCACTCACACATGTTAAAGCACATTATGTGCGTGCATGAAAATATAATAAAACTCACTATTATAATTAACATAAGAACATTTGATGTCTATAACATATGTCAGTATCACTGCACTAAATATTTAAATAAGTAATGTAAAATTTTCACAAAGACAGAGACCTAAAATCTAACAAAGAGAACTAAGCCGGGTGGTGGTGGCGGCGGCGGCGCACGCCTTTGATCCCAGCACTCAGGAGGCAGAGGCAGGCGGATCTCTGTGAGTTCGAGGCCAGCCTGGTCTACAAAGCGAGTTCC